GTGCGTGCACCGATTTCTACCGCGGTGAATTTTGTCAAGATGGTACGTATATTTGGTAGAAGCCCAATGGGCTTAAACTCGGGAAGAAGCCCATCTCGAATTGAAGCCTCCCCACACTTTATCGAAAAGAAGCCCATCTCAAAAAGGAAGCCCATGGGCTTCTTCTCGAGATTACACAGTAGAAACACTGTACATGAATTTCAAAGAAACAAAATAAATTTAAAACACGCTTAGTTTACACAGTATTTAGGCGATTTAATTCCGTTAATACACTTAATGATACAGACTGATCTTACAGTGGCCATATTTATTGCTTTATAGTAGTCATTCCTAAATTTTATAGAATTCTGATTGGTCGGTTGTTCAGTTTGATTGACAATGCGAAATGATCCATTATATCAAATACTTTTGATAATATTCCCACGGCTCCCCATGTATACGTCTCTGACAATAGTTATTCATCGTACCCGTACTAGGCCTACTGCTGATGTGTAACGTCGCTAGCTCTCTGAGGAAACGCGTACTGCAGGAGCACAAAACAGCATAGACACGTATTTAACAAGCACACAGTATTGTATACTGATCATATCACTATAGGAACCAATGACTGCAGCTACAACAGTTGATTGAGAAAACTAACATTAAAAGACGGCGATTGACTTATAAAGCAATTAGTAGAGCTGCATGCATAGTACACTAGCAGAACATTATTTTACTTAGGTTAGATTTAATGCATTCAAAATTGTCTTTCGGGCATTGCAGGCCCTCAAGAATTTTTTAAAAATTAAAATCTAATTAAATCTAACCTTCGTATAATAATTTTCATATACTGTAGTGTACTATGCGTAGCTCTACTAATTGCTTTTTACTGCACAGTTGGGGATGGGCAAATAACATTAGGAGTCGCACTGATGACGTCACGATGGACTTATAAAGTCATATAATATTATACTAATGACAATGATGATGATGATGATGATGATGATGATGATGATGATGATGATGATCATCATCATCATCATAATAATAATAATAATAATTATTATTATTATTATTATTATTATTATTATTATTGAATTAACCACCATTACCTTATTGTAGTAAAATTATTGAAAATAATTATTAATGTATGTATTAATTAATGTAATTGGTACTATAAGTTAATTCAACAAATATTATTAGAAAATATTAAATCATATTATTTTCTCTGTTTTCTGTTTTGAAGAATTCATACATAAGCCAGTACTTGTTCAGACCATTATTGGAGATGCACCTCTAAGCAGTGTTGGCTTTGAACACTCTAACACACATTACTTGGTTATAGGAGGATAGTATGTATTATGAAATATTGAATATTGGAAGCTTTAGATTTGCGTGACGATGTAACCCTAGAACGAATTCACTCATCCGTGACCGTTACGTTCTCCGCACAACGTAGATACAAATTGCGATGGTTCTATTAATCCCAGATGACAACAAGAACTCAATTGTTCTCGCATGCGCAGATGACTTTTATCTGACGTCATACATTTCAGGCCTATCTTCGTCGTGCAATCGAAAGCTTCCTAATATTGTTGTTACTGAAAATATAATGTACGGAGAGTACAAATCTGCACAACATCGAATAATTGGGCGTATTCGACGTAGGCCTACTGCTGCTTTCTTTGACAACGATTTTTCGTTGAGTATTATATATTTTCATTCAGTAAAATAGACTTCAGTGACACGGAAATGAAGGTTTACGATAAACGTACCCCAACTATCACAAGCGAAGCAACCTTGACTACACTGACGTGTATCGCGGTAACTACGATGCCATTTTTTTTTTAGCTCTGATTAGGAGCTCTATGAGTACCCTTCTAAATGCTTTTTTGCGGCTAAGTGGGTTTCAGCAAGGACTGTAGGCCTTTAGAAGGACTGTGTGCTATGGATGGCGCGGTCGGTTTAACCCATGGGTGTATGCAAGTCTCTTATACACATCTAGATGTGTATAAGAGACAAAAATTCAAAGGTCTACATTTTTTCTAAAAACATTTTTTTTGCTAGAGCCTTTTCACAATGACATAAATGAAAAAGCATTGACGAGATACCAGCAATGAGTCCAAAGACCTTGCCAATTGCGTGACATAATCCTGGGGCGGATGAGGGAGTGGGGGTGCAGAAGGTGTGATCGCACCCCACTAAATTGTATTAGGTAAGATTTTTAAGGTACATGAGAGTGCAATTTCCTGGCACCCAGAGATATTCTCAAATTTTTTGGGGCTGAGGTGGTGGCAGACACGGGGAAAGGGACAAACGCCCAGGAGTGGCGAAAGGATTTGCCCAGCGGGGTAGGGGGTCCCAAGTCCCCGACGGGGCTCCAATGTCTCCGACGAGGGGAAACATTTCCTCGACGAGAACAAAGTGGGCGTAGTCAAACGTCGCTATAAATGCCTCGAAATTGATCTAGGGGGCGAAACCCCCGAAATTTTGACAATTTAGGGGTTTCAAAGGCTTATTTAATCGATTTTAGAGTCTATAATATGTACAAAATACTTTTTTTTCCCAGACGAATTGTGGTTTTTTTTTCAACGGGGGGGGGGGTGGACAGCTCTCCCCGACGAGGGGTCTGGCCTCCGGCCCCCTTCCGCTGGCGCCATCCTTGTAAACGTCCCCTCACATATTTTTAAGGGAAAGAGTTGATTCCCTCACTTTCCTTGAGTCAAGAAGATATGCCTGAAAATTGTTGATATAAATGCATAAATGACCCAGGTTTTAACAAAAGATCGCTGTACAGCCAGAGCACATCTTATTTTATAGCAAGATACCACGTGTCTCTGCCCACAAACATCTGAATTACCTATAATACTCGACTCGAGTGCGCGTGCCTTTATTATAATTTGAGAAGTATAAGAAAAAGCGTGCAAAGATAAGCTTGGGTTTCGCCACATGAAATATTTTCAATGGTACATCACCGCGATTAATTAGATCGATGATGATGAATTTTACTATATAAGAGTGTCATATCCGGCAATCTACAGGACAATTTTACCACCTCAGCCCCAACTGTAGCGGAGCTGAGGGATGTGTGTTTTTACTTGATTTACTTGATTCCCAGGATTACTGTAACTGTAATCCTGGGTATAGAAACCAAGCATACAATGCTTATTGGCCCCTCGATGAGCAATCTATACTACTTCGTATACGGTGCAAATTTTACCGGGTGGTCAGCCCAATGCCTCTCAATTGCAGATTTAAACATATTTAAGGATGTAGCATTGACATCTTCCTCAGACAATGAATTCCAATTCTTAACAATTCGCCTTGAGAATGTCCCTTTCCTCAGATTAGTTCTAGAGTAATGGTGCTTTAATTTATATTTGGCCTCTAGTGACACTATCAGTATTAGAATAAAAAAAAAATCTTTAGAAATATTATCAAAACCATGAACAATTCTAAACACTTGCAATAAATCTGCACGCTGTCTTTGATACTTAAGTGTTGGAAGATTTAGGGTTTTCAATCGTTCCTCATATGGAGATGACGATATTCAGGAAACATCCTAGTAGCTCGCTGCTGTACGTTTTCAAGACGGTCTTCATCTTTCTTAAAACTCTAAAATACTCTAAAATAGGTCTCACAATAGATTTATACAAATTTAAAAGCCCTTTATTAGAAAACGAAGAGATCTTTTAATCATTCCTAATTTCATGTTGGCTCTTTTTGAGATGTCAGCAACATGCACCGCGAAGTTTAAGCTACGTTAAAAAATGACGCCCAAATCTTTTTCCTTATTCACAGCCTCAAGTATAAAATTAAAGGGCAACTGCCACTTTTTAGACCACTCACATAATGCATTAATATCTGACTGTAAGCTTACACTATCCTCATGTGAATCCACAATTCTAAATAATTTTGTTATCAGCAAACAGTTTTACCTCTGAATCTGTAACCGAGGGTAGATCATTAATAAACATTATGAAAAAATTGGCCCAATTACACTCCCTTACGGAATCCCACTAATTACTGAAAACTGACCAGAAAAATGCCCATTTACAGAAAATCTTTGTGTCCGAGCAGAAAGATACGCACCAATCCAAGTAAGAAGTTTACCACGGACACCAAAACTAAATAATTTTTTTTAAATAATCGTTGATGCGGGACGGAATTGAAAGCTTTCTTAAAGTCAAAGTAAATGAAGACAAAGCTACGGGATTCATCAATATTAGTACTCCACTGTTCAAGGACTTCAAGTAGCTGGGTTGCGCAAGACCGACCATTCCTAAAACCATGCTGTTCATTACACAACAGACTATTACTTTCTAAATGATCCATAATTCTAACACAAATAATCCACTCAAAGATCTTACAAACCAGAGACGTTAGACTAACAGGTCTGTAATTAGATGGACTGTTCTTACTTTCTTTAGAAAAATTGGGTTGACCCACGCTTCTTTCCAAGATACAGCAAGTACAGCACCCTTATTCAAAAGTCTGTTGAATATTATTGATAAAGGAAAAGAAATTTCAAACGTTCAAAAAAGTTCAAAACAATACCCTAGAGTGGATACCGTCAGGTCCGGCAGGTTTTTTAAACTTTAAATTAGACAGTAAAGTTAAAATTTCTTCCTCACTAAAAAAACAAAGCACTGGTCAATAAAACATCAGTCACAGGAGGAATTTTAGGGATATTGGATAAATCCTCGATTAAAAAGACACTGCTAAAAAAAAAACTATTCAACAAATTAGCCTTTCCCTGATCATCAGAAACAGAGTCACCATTTTCTGAAATCAACTTGGAATTCCTGATCGGCTCTTAGACTGACATTTAATGTAATTCCGAAAAATTTTCTCATTAGTTTTGATCTCATCTCTCAGTTTATTTTCAAAGTTTGATTTTGTCTTTCTGATTAAGTTTGTTGCAAGGTTTCTGTCCTCAACGAATTTCTTCCATCTAACTTTCTCATCCGGTCGTGATCGTCTTTTACTTTTAATGTACTTCTTCCAACTTTTATTTTTAAATGTTATAGCTCTAAGGCAATCTTTGTTCATCCATAATGGACTTGTTTTGTCTCTTTTCTTCCGCAATGGTATACAAGTCTCAATTGTATCTTTTTAAAATGCCTTAAAAAAAGACCATGACTCTGTCCCTGAACGACTGTTTTATTCATTATCCAAATCAACATATGCAATAATATCTCTCATCTAATCATAATCTCCATGTATATATGATTTAACAAACGGTACGTCCTGAGCTTTAAAAGAGACTGGCATTTCAAATGTCAATACTACGTGATTACTCTTGCCAAGTGGAGACCCTATCTCTACATTATCAATCGTATCCTCATGATAAGTAAATATCAAATCAAGTAAGCTGGACCTATAACCCTCACGGAATCTAGTATGCTCCATAACATGCTGGTGAAGGAACACATCGTAAACACAGTCAAATAATAGTTGAGCACATCCACTTTTATCAGTCCTAACACAGCCCGACTCCCAGTCAATCTCTCTAAAGTTGAAGCCCTCACAATGACAACATCAGAAAAATTGAAATCAAGTACATGACTAAGTAAAGAACATTAATTATTATTATTTATATATAAGTACTAGATGGACTTCTATATATGCAACCCAACAAAAATGTTGATTCTTTAGTATTCACTTCAACCAAGATTCTTGAAAACTACCATCATCTAAATCAACCAAATTTACAGGATTGCCATTTTTACGTAGATAACTACTACACGACCTTAAATCATCTGAAGGGAGAAATAATTGGTATCCATTTAAATTCAACTGACATAAGTTCAGACTGGAAAAAAATATAATTTTTCTACAGATGATCTATTCTTTAACTCGCTTTTCTTGTTTAAAAAGGAATCACAGTTCGTATACATAAATTTATAATTATAAATTGAGCCAATATTTTCTGATAAATTAACATTACTTGTATTATTATATTCATTCTTTCTTGTATTCACTTTAGACATGACATTTTTTCTTAGAAATCTTATAACTAAGTCCTTCTATTCATTTTTAATACGTTCATTTAATTCTTCTTTTAATATCCTATATTTCTCGCGTTTGCTATGAGTTCTATCATTACTGACTGCGATATCCTTTTTTCTAGCTTTCTCAAAAGTTTTTCTTTTCGACTGCTCATCATTAAAGATGACCTTAATATGTCTAATTTGAACGCCTCGTGCACCTACGCGAAAAATAGATTTAACATTATTTTCAACATCTTGCTTGTTTCCAACAATTTCAACAATCTTCTTAAAGTCATATTGTTTCCTTATATCAGCAGCATCACTCTTTGACTCCTCCAATCTATATATCATTAAGTTAT